TCTTCGGTCTGCTGCATAACGACATCTTGTTGCAGACATGTCTGTCGGGCCTTGAAGCCCACCTTTCGATCGACAAAGACATCACGAAGCTCCATTTGAATATCAAAAGGTTCAGTCTCGGGTTTGCTTCTGAACACTTGATCTCGTTCAGCGAAGATTTCAAGATGCGCGATTCCGTCAGGGACGTCTTATCGGCCGAGCAAGGGGACATCGATCTCTCCATCACAAAGTCACCTGATTCTACCACCGTCAACCTCATGACACTTCCTTTACAGCTAAATTTGAACATCCAACGATTGGAAGAGGCCATAGGTTGGTTTGGCGGGCTGAGCACGATATTGGAACTTGGGAATTCGATCTCATCGGCTTCATCCGGAAAGGGACCTAAGAAAGAAGCCCCGAAGCGTCCTCGTGGGGTGCATTTTGAAGAATTTCCTCCGCCGGCAGCCAGCGAGCGGACAGGCTTGGCACCTTTGAAGGTAAATGTCAGGATCGGAGGGCTTGCTGCAGATGTGGTCGGAGAGACCCACTATGTCAAGCTGAGGACTACAGCTGCCAAGATTGTTAGCAGGTCTAGTGGCGTAGCAGTGCAGATTGACAAGGCCAAGTTAACCGGCCCCTTGCCTCTGGACGAGACTCGGGACGCCCCCGCCAAACTAAGCCTGACCGATATCAGGATTGAGTACCGGTTTTCTCCGAAGGAAGAAGACTTGGACCGACTACTTGGCTTGATCACTCCGTCCAAGGACAAGTACGACGAAGATGATGATATTATGTTAGATACACTTTTCCGCCAGCGGAGACAGGGTTCTGTACTCTGCCTTACAATCTCCGGAGCACGGGTTGCTGTTTCTCGCACCACTGATCTCGACTCTATCTCCCAGCTGGCCGATGAGTTAAGCCGGTTGTCAAATGTCACAAAGTACCTACCAGAGGATGACAGGCCCGGTGTGCTGACCCTTGCGCTGGTTCGTGAACTTGAGGTTCAGGTACATATAGGTGGGAAGGTGGGCGAAATGAGCGCAATTCTTCGGAACACCGAGTTAGCCTTTATTAGCCTGCCTTCGCTCATTGCTGCGCAGTTGGGCTCCATAACGGTTGCTAGGAATCGGGACGAAGAGCTTGTGGGAGAAGCATCGGCAATTGGTCACAAATCCAGCTTAAGCCAGAGCCCACTTCCGGTTTTGATGGCTCGCTATATTGCGGATGAGATGGACCCCACGGTCAAAGTGAAGTTACATAACTTCCGCGCAGAATACACACTCCCATCTATCATTGCCTTCCTTGGGCTAAGCGACGATATGACGACTGGGGATGTGGCTGCCAACATGGCAAGCTCTTTGGCCAACCTCGCCGAGTTGCAACCTCCACACCATGACGTTCAATTACCGGAGAAAGAAGGCCGCTCTGACACTCCTTCAAAGCCCATTAAGTTGACGGTTGACCTTCGAGACTGCGTGCTAGGTCTCAACCCGCGCGGAACCGGCGCGAAGGGCCTTGTAGTTCTCACAAACGCCAAGTTTTCCGGTGCGATACACGACCCCGTGTCTTCAGATGCCACACTAGAGCTCCGGAAAGCGTCTCTCATGATCATTGACGATGTCGCGAACGTGGGATATGCAGACAACGTCCAAAGAAGAAGCTCAGCTCCCCCACACAGCAATCAGGTGCAGTCCTTCATTGATCATGGCTTTGTGACGGTTTGCACAATATCTTCGGCCACAGCTACTGTCAAGATAATGAGGCTGAGTGATGATGGGGCAAAGTCCCTCGATGTGGAGCTAAGGGACGACTTGCTAATTCTGGAGACTTGTGCCGACTCAACACAGACTCTCATAAGCATTGTTAATGGGCTCCAGCCTCCCACTCCTCCAAGTGCAGCTGCTAAATACCGCACGGAGGTTCTCCCAATTCAGGATATGCTATCCTCTTTCACCGGAGACGCCTTCTTTACAGACATGCCGGAGCCACCCGAGACGACGGATTCTCCTGATCAGAATCAGGGAGCGGGACATCTGGAAGATGAGCGTGACTATGTCAGTGACTTCAAACATGTCAGTGCAGTTCCGGAGCATGGATCCTTGACAGAGGGTATGATGGCTTCGGGTTCAAACGAATTACTAGACAGCTTCCACTCGCAGTACTATGTGTCATCGAGTATCTCCGAGCTCGACTTCCGTGAGGATCACTTTGCGCAAAAGTCTGCTGTTGGTGGTACTGCACATCGCTGGGATTCTACCCAGAACACTTACGGACTCTCAGACGACTCTAAGCTTCAGAAGAGCCCGCTGAGAATCAGAGTCCGCGACGCGCATGTCATCTGGAACTTATTCGACGGGTACGACTGGCAGCGGACCAGGGATACCATATCGAAAGCTGTGAAGGACGTAGAACGGAAAGCCATTGAACGGCGTGCGCGTGCTGGCAGCCGAGCATCTCCCAGCTTTGACGAGGAGGAAGAGTCTGTTATTGGCGACTGCCTGTTCAACTCTATATATATCGGCGTTCCTGCCAATAAGGACCCGCGCGACATCCGTAACGACATCAATCGCAACATCGACGACCTCGCTAGTGAAACGGGTAGCTACGCGACTACGACGACAGTCACTGGGGCCACGGTCCGGCAAAGCCAGTCGCCTGCGGTCCGAGGAAAGAAGTTGCGCTTGTCTCGAAGCAAGTACCATAAGATGACGTTCGAACTCAAGGGCATATGTGCGGACCTGGTCGTTTTCCCACCCGATTCCGGAGAAACGCAGAGCTCATTGGATGTCCGTATCAAGGATCTGGAGGTGTTCGATCATGTGCCTACTTCTACGTGGAAGAAATTCGCGACATATATGCACGAAGCGGGCGAGAAGGAGAGTGGAACAAGCATGGTTCATCTGGAAATTCTGACCGTGAGACCCGTACCTCAGCTCGCTGCAACTGAGATCGTGCTCAAGGCGACAATCCTTCCTCTGCGGCTACATGTTGATCAAGACGCCCTGGATTTCATATGCCGTTTCTTCGAATTCCGAGATGATTCAGCGCCGACTCCAACTGCTCCAAGCGATGTTCCCTTTCTACAGAGAGTCGAGATTAATGCCGTTCCTATAAGACTTGATTTTAAGCCCAAGCGAGTTGACTACGCGGGACTAAGATCTGGCCGGACGACCGAGTTCATGAATTTCTTCATACTGGATGCAGCTGACATGACCATGCGACACGTCATCATCTACGGAGTGTCGGGCTTTGACAAGCTTGGGCAAACGCTCAACGACATCTGGATGCCAGATATCAAGAGAAACCAGCTCCCAGGCGTGCTGGCTGGTCTTGCTCCCATCCGGTCTCTAGTCAATGTGGGTGGAGGGGTGAAGGATCTAGTAGCGGTTCCTGTGCGCGAGTATCGCAAAGACGGTCGCCTGGTACGAAGCATTCAGAAGGGAGCATTATCCTTCGCGAAGACCACATCGAACGAGCTGGTCAAGCTGGGTGCCAAGCTTGCTATCGGAACACAGACGGTGCTCCAAGGCGCCGAAGATCTCCTCACTACTCCTAATGCGTCGGGAGCTGGTGTAGAAGACGAGTATGCTGACGATGAAGAGGCGAAGAAGATCTCCCTATACGCCGATCAACCAGTCGGGGTGGTACAAGGTCTCCGCGGCGCATTCCGGGGGCTGGAGCGCGATCTGCTTCTGACACGCGATGCCATAGTCGCAGTGCCTGGAGAAGTCATCGAGAGCGGAAGTGCCAAGGCTGCCGCAAAGGCTGTCTGGAAGCGTGCTCCGACTGTGGTTCTTCGACCCGCAATTGGCGTTTCCAAGGCTGTGGGGCAGACTCTGCTGGGGGCTGGAAATACATTGGATCCTAGCAACCGGCGAAAAATGGAAGACGTAAGTTATACCTTCCCACAGAGAGCTGACAGTATACTAACCTTGCTTGCAGAAATACAAGCGCCACTAACGACCTTTGTGGCTATAACGTTGGCAGTGCTTTCCGCGAGTTCTTCTTCCTGGGATGGTTATGGTGCAATTGATTGGGACATATACCGGAGCAGGTCGCACATTCACCTGCGGGCAGGTAACCTGGGACTGATTTAATGATGACTATGACGGATGATTCTTTGCTTAGCACTACTACCCCTTTTGAGTTTTTGATACAATGATGGCTTTTTTAAGCATGACTTGGTGTTGGATTGATATTTTTGGGGATGTCTATGAATAAGATTGGCTATTGAGGAGGAAGGTAGATTGGATGTGAAATATGATTGCTAGATTAGTATGCAGTGTAATACATTGAACCTAAGTTGTACTGAGTGCAGTGTCTCTTCAGCTGTAGAAGTTCAATTGCTATAAGCAGCAACCAGTCTACAGCAAAATTAAGAACAATAATAGTTTATACCATTAACCGATTCTCTTCAAAAGCCCAAACAAATCATGTTGAGGAGAATTTTAGCGCGTGATGATCGAAGGGCTCAGCCACGACTAGGGTTTTGCTTGATTGCGTGCTGACCTACCTGCATGCCTGAATAGGAAGGTAAGATTAAGGTTTAATGGGTATGCTCAGATAGCATTTGCAAACAGTATGACACGGGCATCACTCTACTCTGCTACTACTTATACACTGGATTCATTAAATATAGATCCACTCAAGATGATAACGCAATAAATGGATGCATGCAGTCATCTGAAGGATATCATTCGTGGCGGCAGCTAGTAGAAGACGGGTCATTTGCAGTTTTCCGTTGAATTGCGGAGAATACTCGCCAGCAACTTTATCTTATCGAATACAGTGATGAAGTATTGAATTCAGCTTGTTGAGTAATGGCTCTACACTGCTGAGAAATCTAAACATTTATTCACGTTCAAGTTCTAGAGTTAGATACAAACCAAGATAAACCATCTATCCAGTATTCGACAATCAACCTCAAAGCCATACATACCCAAAGACATAACAACCTACCCAACCCAACAAAAAAAAAAAAAGAAAAGTCATCAAAAACAGAGAGTTTGTGGAAAGAACTAACTATCCAACGACCCCACCCCCCTCACCTTCCCCTCCGCATCCAAAAATGCCATATCCACATCCCCCGCCTTCACCCTCGACCACTTCGTCTGCTTCCACAACCCATCAAAGCAAAATCCCGGATGCAACACCGTCAACGCCAACGTCGCCAGCACAATCATCGCCCCCTCCAACACCATGAAATCCACCTCATCGTTGGCGAGTTTACTATGGAATCCGCCTTTCAACTCCGCAACTCGGAACACGGACCGGATGAAGATAGTCACTGTTGCGAGGGATAATCCTACACGCACACACACATAATGAATTAGCCAGGAACCCACACCACACACACATAAATCCCAGAAAGAAAGGGGTATGCTCACCACCCAAAAACGCCTTCCACACCTTACTCCTCCTCACCTCCCGCATCCTAAAATCACCATTCAACTTCCCGGGATTCTTCCACACCCGGTAGGCGAAATCCGCACAAAGACCCATAAACAACACCAGGGAGACAACCTGGCTGGCGAGCCCCGCAATCATGATATTTATCCCTGTTTGGGCGAGATCCGCTTGGTCTGCGTCCGCAGTGGAGGTGATTGCGCCGCCGGCGGCTTGTAGAATCAGAGAGACGAGGTCGCAGAAGACGAAGAGGTAGGTGTATGTTTTTGGTTTCAGGCGGGAGATTTCTGCGCCGTAGATTATTATGATCCGGGTTAGGCAGATGTAGATGGAGGCGGAGAGGAGGGCCGGGGCGATGGTTAGACAAATTAGGTATCTGTATCATAGAGGTCTTGTTAGATCTTTGTTTGTAATGTGAAAAGGAGGAATTGGAAAAAGGTATGGAAGTTGGGGGGAAATGGGGAAGGGCATACTCAAGGTAAGGATTGAATTTGAACGGGTTATAGTGCATTTGAATACGACCTGCGTAGCCGATTATCTCAAGGAGGAGACCGCCGAATAGGCCGGTTAGGTAGCCCCAGGTGCGGTAGCGGATTCCTAGGATGAGTTGGGCGATGAGGAGGGCGGAGAAAACGGCCAGGTAGAAGATGTTGCCGGGGAGCGAGGGGACGTAGTTGACGTAGGCGTCGGAGAGGGGACAAATGGAGAGGGTGCAGTAGTCGGAGGGGTCGAGGGATGTGCTGTTGGTGGTTGAGTTTGACATTTTGCAGAGTATAGTACAATCAATATATGTAGTATAGGAAATTATGAGTGTGCATTAACAAGTAAAGTGAAGATGAAGATGAAGATGAAGATGGTATACTAGTATCTACAGCCGGCTCCCATCGCCCTCATATACAGCATCACCACATAGTAACAATCCAAAAATAACCATTCTCCATTGATTCTTACTCGATAAGCCTCACTGGAATAAGCGAAGCCTGATCCAGGCCCCCAGGATATTCCCAATCCTTTCAACTGCATCAGATCAGATATCACGTTTCAGCGCCATGGGTGGTAAGCAGCAACCCAACAGAAGAACTAATCTTGGCATATCTCGGAACGAACCGAGCGAACTGTCACTGGTGGAAAGGAAAGTAAAAGCCACGATGGATGAGCTTCAGTTGAGCACCGCCTCGTTGCCAAGAGATACTCGAATGTTATATAGTAGACTGGTAGCGGACAAGGACTCGGACACGCACGGACACGGATACGGACTTGATAGTGCGGACACGGAGAATATGTACCCCACTCCTCGTGGGGCTGCTATTTCTGGTATGGACATCTAAAGTAATATCAAAAGCTGGACTGGGTATTGTATCGGGCTGTCTTGACATTGTGATCAAGGCACAGCCATTGCGAGGCTCATTCGATCCTTCGGTTATCTATCAGGGTGATGATGATCAGAGGATCAAACTATGGGGCGGTGGCATGGCATTAAGAGTAGGTTGTGGAGTAAATATGTCTAGATATTGCTTACCATTTCTTCTTGTACTTCTATTGTTCTTACTTCTAGTCATTCATTGAGTGTTTGCCTGTCTCTTCATCTCGCATCGCTTCTACACAATGATCCCACGCACAGCACTCAAAACCATAGGGAACCGTATCCAGCAGCGCTGTCCCGCTTCTCTCCCAGTCCTTTCCCTCGCACCCAGACTCCAAGCCATAGTCACCAAGGCACGCCAGGGTCCCTTCATCTGCTGTCTGGGATTCTACCTCCTCTCCACCTGTCTATCATGGCTCATCACAACAATACACTTCTCCTCTCAGTTACATGTCCACACCCTCTCTTCTGATATCCTTCACGCATACCCAACGACACCCTTGGCAAATTCCACAAAACCATACCAATGGGCACTTCCGCCCACCAACCTCACCTCTTCCCCATCTATCCCCCCAATCATCCACCGCATATGGCGCGGTGACCTCACCAAACCCATCCCCGAAGAATATATCAACGCCAGCTCCTCCTGCCACAGCCAAAACCCCACATACGAGCAATACATCTGGACTGACACAACAGCCCACCAGTTCATTGAGACGTACTTCCCCTGGTTCGCACCCACATACAACGATCATCTCCTCCCCATGCAGCGTGTCGACGCGCTCCGGTATTTCCTCCTCTGGCATTACGGGGGCCTGTACTTGGACCCTGAGATTGGGTGTCAGTGGCCGTTGGATTCCTTGTTGAGCGAGGAGCAAGAGGACCAGGTGCTGCTGCCTCAGCACTGGCCGTACGGGGTCGGGAATGAATTCATCGCGAGTAAGCCGAATCATCCGTTTGTGATCAAGGTGGCGTTGAGTGTGCATGAGCATCGATGGGGGTTTGTGCCGGCGTATGTGACGGCTTTTGTGAGTGCCGGGGCGATGTTGGTGAGCCGGGTGCTGGGCGTATGGTTGTCCGCTGTTGGGGGTGGAGTAGGCATTGTGCCCCGGAGCATGTTTCAGGGGACTGAAAAGGCGTTCTTTATGCGGTTTGTCGAGGAGAGACCGCGTGGGGATGAGGTTGCGGTGGCGGAGTGGTTTTTCGGGAATTGGATAGGTTGGTGTGCGGCTGGGGTTGCGCTTGGGGTGATGGGGATGGTGGTGTTTGGGGTGAGAAGGGAGCCGAAGGTGCGGAGGGATAGGGTGTTTACTGTGGTATTGACAGCGTAATTAAATTGGATGGGGTTCATTGTATAATATATAACTGGAGACTTGTCTGTTTTAAGTTCATATTGTGATAATTAGAGACGTAAGATGGTGGTGGATGCGCTACCTAGTCAGCGCTAGCGCTGCTCAGACGCCTTCGTGTACTCCATCCAGTCGACGAGTATCTCATCAATCGTCGCGTCGGGAAAGAAACCCGGCCATTGCATATCGTACACTTCTGGGGGTATCATCGTATAATCATTTAATCCGTCCAGTGGCAGCTGCGATGATTCAACGTGACTGTTCTCAGCTGTGGATGAGCTCATGTCGTCAGTTGGTTGCACCGCAGGCTGAACAGAATTATTCTTATTCTTTGATAACATCCGGTTTTCAAACCACCACTGAACTCGTTTCAGTCGCTGTTCATAGTGGTAGAAGACATCTCGGTCACCGGAGGCATCCAAGCTAGACGTAACTAGCGCCTGGATGCGGAGGATACACCGACTGAGCATGCTGGATATGTCAAGCGCACGGCACAATTCCGCTGTGTGAGGCTGTATCGAAGGCTCTGATGCTGCTACAACAAGCTTGCACGCCAGAGTCAGCGCGAAGCCGATCTGAATCCATATGGCGTTGTTGAACGCCATTTCACTGCGTAACGGGAGGCAGACATAGTGATCGAGTAGCGCTTTGGCCGCGATGAGACCCATACGTAGTGCCTCAATTTGAAATGGGACTTCACGCCTCGGGCTTTGTGTACTGGGCTTATGATCGAACAAGCTGATCTGGCAGAGATACAGTTCAGCAGTATAGTATTGCATGTAAAGGATATCTGAGGGTTATCAGCATCGATGGGCTTTTCATAATCGGTCGGCTTACTGTTTTCATTCAACGGACAGGGTAGGCTAGCCCGATATTGCTCCAGCTCCAGTTTCATCTCACGAAACGAACGCTCACTGCTTGAGCCAGGGCCGTGGGTCCCTAGAATGTTTTGTGATGAAATAAAAGTAATCCTCTCCGATAATCGTTGAAGTTGTACTATATGAAGCAGGTGCTGGTCGGAGGCATACTCGGCATCTGTGGCCAGAAGCTTGCAGCAGTCATCAAAGTAAGGCATATACGGAAAGGTGCATTGTTTGTGGAGGATCTGCGAAACGCTACAAGCCGTTAATCCCAGTAGGTAGTTACTGTGTAAATGCCTAGACTCACCTCGATGAGAAATAAAAGATACCGAGGACGGCCCGTCTTTCATCGTGCCCCCAAGATACCGACTCTTTGTGTTCTTCCGGGTTAAAGTTCACTCGAGTCCTCCAGAGTCGATACTCATGCGCACGGTCCAATTGCAAGTCCGTGATAATGCTGATCGCAAGGTGTAGATATTGAGAGAACCGGCGTGGCCGTGAATGATATTGACACCTAGACTTGTCAGTTCAGTGTTCGGACAAGGAATATTAGGCGTACCATGCAATGTGGACTAGCAGCCCTTGCAGCACCTCGAATGAGATGGGTCCATCGTAAATCATGCAGTCGCTAACCTTCTTCTTCACCTCTTTTTCGAGCATACGCTGCAGAGGCATGTTGTCATACAGAGTAGCCGTCAAGATGGTAAGGAAGAGAAACGGCTTGTCTTTCCTTAGGCTTTCGGCAGAGGTCTGTGGTGGGACGACTACGAATGGACAGTGAGGCATTAGTGTCGTCCGAAATTCATTTAGCAGCATGTTGGCGGCCTCCACAGTAAGCAAGCCTTTGTCAATGGCATCCTTGGACTGCGAAACAGTGCTTGCAGGGCTCCCATTGGCCGTGCTATTACCCCTCTTAAAACACGGTTAGTCTCTCTGTATAGCGCAATTGAGGGTGTTCGGCGCACCAGGCTTGGAGATACCGACGTCGCTAGCAGCTGATCGACTTTGGCTTCGAGTAGATCGATTCTCCTATGCTTGGTTAAAAGGCGACCTACTTGTCCGTGGCTCGCAACTAACCTGTCCTTGCTCTCTCTCTTGGTCCCTCCATTTGTGCTTCGGGTTTCTGGGAAATGACACTCTTTTCCCAGCCGTTCGCATCTAGAACTAGTAAGCCCACCAAACAATCAGATCGCTCAGACAAGCTCACCGTTCGCAACTCCCCGTAGCCCCGTGGCGATTGCACCGTATCTTTGCTCTGGCACAGTTCTGACATGTCCTTACTGAGCCGTTAGAATACCGGCCCCTGGGACGGGAAAGCTCACTCTGGACCAAGTGAGCCATCACAGCTGGAGATTTTCGCGTCACCGCTGTATTTGATAGATCCAACGGTTAAGCGGTAATCTTAAAAACCTACAGGGAGTGGAGTTCCGTGCGCAGGCCGAGGAGACGGCAAGAAGGTAGCTGGGATGAAATGGGGCCCTGTAGACCCCAGCCATGGAGAGCAGAGTCCACTGAGGCGAAGCGAAGCTGGTGTATGCGGGGCGGAGTTGGTACCCGCCAGCCACACTAATGCCGGCCGCGGTCACGTCCCCTGTCTCTCTTGGCGCGTCAGCTTCCTCGCTGCTGCAAGTATCGGTTTGTATTGAGTTTCAAGCATTTTGCGCGGGCTTTCTTTAGAAACTGGCATATCAATCTGAGATGACAGGCTGCCGCGAGTAGCCTCCGAGGCCGTGCGAAGTACCGAATTCGTGATGCTTCCATGGTTCATCGCAGATATTACTCTCTAGCAAGTGGGTCCAGTGTCAGTGCACCAGCGCATTTAGAACGTAAGTACGAATTGGCTTCTTTGTCTGAGCTTATGCTCGTGTTGGGAACCACCAGCCAAATGGAGAAAGACCAAATGAACAAAGCATGACGCTTTCATTTACTTGAAGCTATCGCGCATGGATATGCTCGGAATTTTGCCTACTGCTGTTGTGCCTGTTTCTCGGCCGGCGGTATTGACAGGGCACCAATCAGTGATCAATACTTGTCAAAGCTCCTGTTCCTAGATGCTCTCGGCAATGTTCATGTCAAGTGGCTGGAGCTCAAGGTTCCGGGATGATGGTTCTATGTAACTTTTGGGGCCACTAACCACCTGCAAGCTGTGCCTATGGCTTGCTTTTCTATATGTGATCCGATGTTGAAGGAGAGCATGAATGTCGTTAATCACATAGATAGCCTTTGTTTAGACTACTGGCAGTAGTTCACTGCGACATTGAGCCGCGTAGATGACTTGGCGAGCGATTGCCCAGACTTTAACTCACCGTTCACTTTACTTTGTAGCTTCAATAACTTATGCATGGCAATCTATTCGGGGTCCGGCGATACGGGCTACAGATGCACTAAACAACAGAATAGGTTTCTCCGAGCTTGCTACGATGCTATAATTAATCGCCGCCTTCAACCGTATAGACTCCAGAAACAATTGCATGAGGTCAACTGGAGCTCATAGATCGGCTTCCAATATACCCGGAGAAAATTAGACTGCGAAACCCGCGAAGACGATTTCGAGTCTAGATTCAGTCTGGCGACAAGGCAAAGGTGATGCGGTTCGTATCTGCTGCCCGACCCATGGCACAATCTATCCATGGGTCTTGAGTATCGCTCAGAGTAGAGTTTGTGGAAGACATGGATGTGATGGCATTAATAGTATCATGGGTGAGTCTCCCACTTGCCGTTATGGTCCATGTTGACAGGATTGGTTCGGTATTCCCGAATACCACAACTGGTGACATTAAAACTGAAGCTATTCTAGATGTAGTGGAGAGACGAAGTGTGTAGAAATGCTGATGCATCATTGGAGATTTATCCTGTGACATCGTAAATTGTATAGCCAAGTATAGACCTTGTGTACAAAACATATCCAGCCCACCAGTCAGCGGCTCGACGACTCAACGTTACTACTTACTAAAGAAGTAGTTACACAGCGATGGCTCAGTCTGGGCCAGGCTCCCGTAACTAAGTCTTCGGCACTGCGTCGTAATCTGGGGTCTGCGGGAATGTTCCACCAAGATTTGCATGGCATTTTACTAAGGAACTCACGAGACAGGTACGAAGCTCCTGAGAAACGGTCAGGCGTACCGCAGCTCCAGAGTGCTTGTGAAACATTGGCAGGTACAGGGCTCTACAAGGCCGATCTTGGTGACGTTTCCACTCTTGCATTTTCGGTCAACGTAGTTCAATGGAGAGTGGCTCCCTCTCGTGGCTTATGAGATGGCGGTCTTGGCTTCGTTGGTGAGAGAATGCCACGCTACAATCGGTTGGCCGAACGGAGAAAATCCGCACTCGGTGCTAAAATAGTACCCTGGCACAGATGATGTACTGTAAGATGGGACGCTTCGATGATACTGGGTTTCGACTATTGTTAGTTTATCGAGTTGTTTGCGGTACCCCAAACAACCTTAATGGGCTGCGCTATCGAATGGCGATAGAAGTCGCCAGGTGTTGGGGATGGGAAAAGGCCTGGAACGGGAACATGATGGCTAAGTAGAGTTCTCCGGAGTGGATCAGAAACCGTCAGCCTCATTGAATTGAGAGGGAACCATCGTAGCCACATATGATGTATGGAAAACTCAAATGGCGGACGAATTGGACGTATAGCATGGCTCGGTTCATAAGGGTGGTGAGGTGAGGATGCCTAGTGTGACTGGACACATGAACGGGGAGAAGCAAAGAAAGGAATGGGCGAAGCAGGCAAATATAGAAGCGGACTGACTTGAATGCGCCCGATTCTTGAAACACCTGGGTTAACCACGTTTGATTGGCAGACGGGACGATGATCGGGGAAAAGGCTGCGGACGAATGGGTGGCCCGGACGGCATATCTCAAACCACCTTGATGGGAAAGGGTTGAAACAGGATCTTCAGGAATGTAGGTAGATTGGTTCCTATGGAGAGGGAGGGGGGGAAGTGCTGAGGTCATTCGGAAGGATCGTGTCTCGACAGGGAGGTAAGGGGAGGGAAGAAGGAGGCAGAGAACGAGAAAGTCAAAGGGAAAAAAAAAAAAAAAAAGGGAGGGAGTAAGATGGGGATGTGCAAAGTGGGAGTAGATGATGATGACTCGGTCGGAGTTTGGCCCATCCAAGATGGATGGATGCTTTTGGATACTTTGGATTTTCTGGTTCTCACACCCACCCATCCACACCCACACACACAACACGCACGCTCTCTGTGTCCATCTCCTACTTGAATCTACGACGGTACTAGACAATAGAACGTAGTAAGTACCACCGTCGTACTTGCAGGGAGGGATGGGGCAGTGGATCCCTCCCACACAGTTCGAAATACTACTAGCCACGCAGTTGATGCCCAAGTGGGCTGGACTGGTCATGTTTTTGAGACTGAAAACGGAGCCGTCGCCATGATTGGCTGCGATGCACGTCAACTGCAGCTTGACCTGGCAGTCAAGTGACGCTGCTGTTCTTTAGCTGTGTTTCTGTTCTTTCATCAGCCCATGGCCGGGTCTGTCTGTCTTGTCCAAGAGTCTTCGTTATTATTACTGTCAAACTGACTGACCTACTTCCCTTACCATTCCTCGCAAGGTCCATCGCAGTAGTTTTTCGGATTGCCCGGTGCGATCCAAGTAACTACTACTACTTACTTCCGGCTACTATACTTTCTACTTTCATTGTATTGTGTGTTACACCTCCTGCTTACTACTTCTTACTATTACTCCCTGCCTACTCTATACTTCTTACCCAATCCAGTCAATTGAGACATCCTGTCTCGCTTTCATTTTACTCCCCTTTGCTCTGCCGTCACATCAACGTGCAGGAAATATGCTGATAGCACCGTTGCCCTGCTACTACATGTGACAAAACACCCTGTGTTGGTGTAAAAAATTAATTAATCCCCTAAAAACAACAAATAAAAACAATCCAATTGTGCTCAATGCAACCTCGCAAAATCCCCGGGTGGTTCTCTTTCTCGTTTCATTCTTAACCTTCCATCCGCTGGTTCTCAGGTACTACTACTTTCCACCTTCTGTTTTAAGCACCAGACAACCGGGTTCGGCGATGCCTGGCGTGGCCATTACCATGGATATCTGGTCTTCGGGCCATGGATCTCTACACCAACAAGCCGCTATGAACTCAATCTCGACATCATCAATTCCCCCCGGTCTCGACCCTGACCCTCTACAGTTATCTACCACGAGTCCGGCCATGTGCCAGCCCGCATTTCCAGGAACATTGTCCCTCCACCACTATCGCAAACAACTCTCCGACGGCGACTCCTTTGTCTTTGAAAGTCAAGAGGGACACATCTTGAAGCGCAAGAACGCCGCTTTACACCTCAATCAGACCCCGATGTATCCGCATCACTCCGCGCATCCGTTCTCCGTGTCGTCCGCGGCATCGAGCCCTCCCCCGCTGTCCCCATCTTACTCGCCGAGCGCGATGAGTGAGCAGGGACCAGAGAGTCTCCGTGGCTTCGCTTGTAAGTGACGATGGTTTTGCATGCGAAAGTTTCATGGTAGATCAGGATACTGACAGCTATCCCAGTGTCGCCGAATGTAGAACTACATTCGTCGGACAGCCCGGTATACTCAAGATCGAACCCCCACAGACTATTGGTAGGAAAATTCCTGGCAGCAATTGCTTCTCTCCTGTTAACATAAGGTATATAGGACACATTTCGGGACAGATTGGAGAAATATCCGGATTCAAATCCAGACCAGGAAGGCTCCTTTCATAAGCACACCCGCACCCGCTCTGATTCAATCCTGTTCAACATGAAGAATCGAACAGCAACCGTCATTGATCATGGCACGTCGTTTGAAATCGTCAATCCTCATGAATCCCTCAACTTCGCTCGAATAGTTTCGTTTATCGAAGATGTCGATGCTTATTCATCTCGCGACTCGACCGGCCACCGTCGGGAATCTTACATAGAGACGACTGAAGAGCGGCTAACGATATCTGAAGAGGAGTACCTTCGGGCCATTGCCCCATTGAGTCCTGCACCGGAGGAAGATGAACAGAAAGTCCACGAAGAGCTCGTGGGCGATACTCCGCACCAGCCTATACCATCCATCTCGGAGCGCCTACAGAACAAGGGTTCTGAAGATATGGAAACCCAAGACTCACGATCCCCAAATTACACGCAACGTCGACCGCCGCCTTTGCGACCAAGGGCTTGGACCGATGAAAGCGATCTGGGGGAGCCGGGCTCCCCCATCCACGAAGACGGTGATTATCCGTCGCCAGTGTCCTTTGCGCGTCCATCCACGGCTCCGTTTCCAATTGACGGACAGATGTACCCAGCATCGCCAGTCTCACCCCTAGCAGGGTACTACGACATGAATCTCTGGCATGAAGGTTCTCCCATTCAAGATAGACCAGGCTTACCCCATCCGCTGTACTCGAACCCTCCATCCCCCTACGCCAGCCCGTCACCGTTCCCATCTCCACATCAGGCGCAAAAAATCCACATTCACCACAACATATCCAAACGATCGCTCGAAAAACGCAAAAAGAACAACAAGGCCAATGCGGGGCCACTAAACCCGTTTAAAAAGCTTTACAGCATGTTTCGAAAGAAACGGCAGTAACGCCAACCCGCTTCTGCAGCAACACTCATTCGATACCCTCACCGCTCCTTCAGCTCCTCTCGTTCTTTAATTTGTTGCGCCCGCAGCAACTTCAGCTCTACTTTATACTATCGGCTACGCCACTTTTTCTCTATACGCCGGATCCGCTGCTCGCTTGCTTATCTGCTGCCTCGTCTGCATGTGCATATGCAGCATCCGTACATGCAGATATGCAGCTATGATTGCCTGATTGCCTGATTGCCCCATTTTATTGATTGATTGACTGACTGATTGATTGATTAATACTTCATGAGCCACACGTATCCAACCTATCCTTCCCACTGAGACATGTTCCCTGCCCATTGCTCTCTACTGTGGTCTCCATCTCCGGGATGTTCCTTTGACAGGAATCCCGCAGACTTGGGTTATCCTTTTCCATTGTTGATATTGAAGACTGGGTTATGATGCACTGCAAATAGATCTCTTTCTTGTCTTGTTTTTTACTCTCGTCACTGTTGCCGTGAACCTTTTGCAAGCTTATATTCCGCTACGCTTCATGCTATATGCTTCTATTGTATCACCTATGGTTTATAGTATGGTTTACCACTACTACCAAGACTGGAAACACAACGGGCTGAGATGCAAGTCAAATCCAATCCAATCCGACTTGATCGGGACACGAATCGCTTATATGATGCACAATAGTAAAACCACCCGGTAACGGTAACGATAAGGTTGATGTGTAGGAGAGAAGAAAGAAGTAAATATTTACAGGTGTAAAACTGAACTAATACATGGTAGATACTCGGGACACCACCACAAGACGACCAAAGAAATCAAAGCAAACCAGACAAGTAAGACAGACAAAGTAACCGGGTACACAATCTGGGTATCTTTCCTTCTCAACGCGCACACAAAAGCCCGAACCCTGAGGGATGACGATAGATCCAACAAAACAAACAACAAATATATCATCAAGAATATGAGAAGTAATACAACAATAAGAAGAAGAGAGGATAAGTTGAAATATGGAAGAAATGAAAAAGAGAAAATTGAAGAAATGATTACTCCTCCGGCCCCTGCTCCACCATTGACGCCAACGCCGCACTCACAAGGCTCTTCCGTCTCAGCCCCTGCTCGTTCTTCTTGTGCATATCTCGTGACGAGCAGTGATAGCTCTTCTCGATGCGATGTGACGATGCCAATGCACTGACGCTACTCTTCCGACGTGCCCGGGTCTCCGGACCAGCTGATTCCGCTGACGCCGTGGAAGAGGGCTGACCACGGAACCGATTCCGCGACAGAGTCAGGGCACGTCTTCGCGGCGAAGACTGCGGTGGCAGCGAACTGGGGTGATAGTCCTCTTCACAGATGGAGTCCCTGCACATGGCCGAGCGCATGATCTCGTCATCGGACACCAGAGCACGACGAATGGCTTCTACATCAGACTGATTGCATTGCAGACGGGAGATCTGTTGTCTTTGAGCGCGGACGGTCCAAGCATCTGATGATGGAGCGGCCGTAGTGGCGTTGCCGTTGCCGCTCAGATCAATGTTATCGGCTGCGGGGAAGTCTGCGGGCACGGAGGTAGGGCTCAGGAAGGGCGAGCAGGATTGTGGAGAAAGAGAACCCGAAGTCAGGGACTCGTCATCGTGATCTGTGTCTGGCGGGGTGAGGACGTAGCCCGGGAACTTGGTTGAAATGCCCAGATCCGATGGGGTTGGAGAAGCCGGACGATCGAAGCGACCGGCTTCTTCGGGCTGCAGGCCGTTCGGGTTTTGAAGGGTGTGCTCGTGAAGTTTCCGCGTCAGAGTGCTGATAGACAGCCGCTTGTGATCGTAGGCAGAGAAAGGCACGGACGTGGGTGGCTGTTGTGTGGAGCGGAAGTAGGAGGAGCGAGAGCGAGACGCGGTCCGGGGGAAGCGATGGGAGCGCGGGGAGGGACAGCGCGACGACATGGGAGAGATGAGGGAACTGTCACTGTCGACCATGAGGCGGTCGTCGCCATCGAGCGCCAGGCGCGAGGGCCTGGTGGACGATGGGGACGAGAAGGAGAAGTCCTCGAACATGATGGCGGAGTCTCTTGTCTTGGGGTTGGATTCGAGACGACTTGGGAGGATCCAGATGACCTTTTTGACAATATCTGGCGGAAGTGCGAGAGTACCCTGCGAGGCCTGTTTTATCCGGACCAGATGGTAGTAGAAATGGAGATGGTGGTCGACGGATAGGCGATCTGGACGTCAGGGGAGCCCTGGGAGGAGGCGAGGGAAGAGAGAGCGCGCGTTCCCGAGTGCAATATAAGGCGAAATCGCACAGTGGCCAATTCTCGTATCGGGGTGGGTTCAAAAAGGGACACGGGGTCTAGTCTGGTAGACGGAAGGGCTAGAAGAGGGAAACGAAAATTAGAAATTATAATTCACGAAAGAAATAGGAAAAGAAGGGAACGGATTAGGCACGTCGAGTGACGGTCGAACCTTGGGATGAGTCTGGACGGACGCCGTGGGGAAGCGCCGCAGGGAATCAATCAACGGCAACGGTTGGGGTGTGTGGATCAAGAAGGGAAAAGGAGAAAGGGGAGAGAGAGTCGGAGGGGAGGAGTGAAAGAAGTAGGGAATCACCGACTGGAGCATGTTTCCAGGCCATGTTAATAATAAAAAATAATCATAATAATAAAGGAGTAATGCAGGCCCCCTTTTTCATTAATCACCATATTATTGTTGCTATTGCTTTTGTCGCCATGGCCAGAGGAAGTGGCAGTTTGTATTCCGTGCACTTTGGCATAACAGAAGAAGAGAAGGAAATGGAGAGGGAAACTGAATTAATTCTCTTGCTGTCCTTCTAGAATTCCAGGTTAGTCGAATTAGTCTAATCCCTGTTCGGCTCTAGCCGGCCATGACTCAGCCAGTCCGGCGTCTCTTCGGCTTCTCCTGCGTGTCTCAATCTCCCCTCCTCAATATCCTCAAATCCCTTCATCCTTCTCCCCATCGGCTGCTTCTTCCTTCCGTCCTGTCACCATTTGTCATTTCATCCTTGATTGGTGATTGCTAATCTGTGGCTTGCATTATTCAACTTCCTGCAGTGTGGTGCACATGCACACTTGAACAACATGCCCTCCCAGAGGCAAAATGGCCAATAAACCCGGGCGGGAATCGCCACCAACCAAGTTCACCATCCTCTGGCTAATCCACTCCTCTAAACCTGGATAGGCTCTAGGGGCTCCCGGTTCGATTCCACCGACCCATCTCCAAGTGGTCCCCTCCAAGAGTCTCCGGCGTTCTCGCCACCCAAACCGGTTAAACTTTCCACCAACTCGGAATCTCACATTTGTCCTGCCAACCTGCCAACTCTATCTAATCAACCTCGGTGAACTAGCCGCCGTTATACGTTGTCGCTCACCACCGTTGTTACTATTGACACGACACAGTCGCAAGCCTATTGTGGATGAGACCGTGCCATGGTTACTACTACAATGACTGTCCTCGAAGGACTGTTTAAGCTCACCCGTGACAATCTGGTTCCTTGATCGTGAACCATGCCCGTAGTTGATATTTGATATTCGTCGATCTATACCGGACTTCCTCCCCACAGTTATTATATTCTACCCCAACAATGCCCCAGAATTGAAGATACGGCATTCAAGGTAATACAGCAAATGTGGTAGTCAACCTCAAGCACAAAATAACACCTTGTGGGAGTTCATTTCTCAGAGAATCATCTTCGTCACCGGAGGCACGAGCTTCTTGGGCGCCGCAGTAGTCCTGCGGCTGGTCTCGCAGGCTCGCCCAAAATGTATATATCTCCTCTGCCGGGGAGGCAAGCAGTAAACTCTACCACATACAGCCCCCGTAACGTGTAAATGAATCCCTGTGCTGATCTCCATCTCTTTTCCAAACAGTCGGGCCGCACGAAAATGGCAAAAGATCCTCCCCAAGCCCATGTCCGACACACTAATCTCGTCGGACCTGATCACCTATCTGGACGGCGACATCCAGAAGCCAGATCTAGCCCTTCCCCCCAACCTCGCTTACACTCCTTAAAAACCACCACCGAGATCATCATCCACGCCGCCTCATCCATCAACCTCGTGGACCCGCTCCACAAACTATCCCAAAGCATCATCGGCGCTACCGAACGGCTTGCCCACTTCGCGCTATCCTGCCCCCACCTCCACCGTTTCGTGTACATTTCCTCTGCCTTCGCGAACAGTCTTCTCTACGCGGAAGCCTCCTCCCGGGCCGCCGTCGATGTTTCGGTCCGAGAAACGCTATACCCGCTTCATCCATCACCGTCATCCTCCTCCCCATCCATCTCCACAGCAACAACCTACAAAGAGCTCCAATCCCGAGGTACAACCACAGAATATGAGTCGCGGCCACACGATATCCCCTAGCCCTACGCCTACGCTAAGCATCGCTCAGAGCGGGTCCTCCTCCAAACCTTCAACCATGACCAAAACCACAACCATTACCATGTTGGCCTTCCCTAACAAACTCCTCATAATCCGCCCATCCATCTTCGGCCCGGCCCAGAACTTCCCTTACCGAGGCTACGGCGTACCCTTATGAACACCACTAACCACTCTAGCAACAATGGTATCGCTTACCCCCTCAATCCGGTTCCACGCCGCGATACGCGCCAAGACTCCCGACACGGGAGCTACATCGGACGAAGTGCCCGGGGACGTGGTTGTGGATCGGATGCTGTTTCACCTTGCCTACAGGAGTAATGGCATCGTGCACTCCGCCTGCGGTGATCCGGGCTGGTACGCATTCAAACTTCGAAGAGCTCTGCCGGCAACACCTACCGTGACAACCTAGCCCGACATCACACCGCCCGCGGCGAAGCAGCCATCAATATCGGCCTCGGTGTCATAGTGGATGACGGCTTTGTAGCTGAGGCGCAAAATTCATAGATCTGTAAGCACCTCAGTGACGACACCCTGTCGCGTATCACACGGGACCAATTCTTGTCCTCTTGGAATACTACTGCGACCCTTCTCATAAACCCACTCTTATGAACTGCTACATTATCTTTGGAACCCACCCCTTCAGGAGATCTGTTATCTGAATAAGCTAGGCTGGATATACCAGTCTATGTTCAGCTTTCTGGTAAGGGGTTAGCGGAGGGACATACCAGGCGGTGCGGGACGCTGATCCTGGGGCGAGTTCGCGCAGGCGCAGTCGCTAGATGAAGGGGGCTTTGATTGCAGCGACTGAGCTTATTTCATGTTAGTGAGGACTTTTTCTGGATTAGGTGAGGGAGATACGGACTCCATTCCCACAGTTGCGACCGCGACAAAGCTTAGGGGCCCCTCTCGAGTTTACAATCGAGCGACTATTTATGGGACCACTACTGCAAGGGAAAAGATACGTTGATTGCTACGCTCCCACGAAACACCGGGGCTGGATATAACAAGCTGTTGAAAGGCTAAAAGGAAATCATATTAAACTAGCAATCCAACCTTGTGGAGGATCTTGGAGTAGTAAATCAATAGCAACAGTGGGCAAAGATCTCGGATCCCAAATAAGTGTAGCAATCGACCCAAAGTCTATATCTAACAGCGTAGATAGAATCAAGTCATCCTGTCTTTTTATGGGCTACCGTGTTAGCAAAACCCCCCCTTTTCGTGTTCCTTAGGCTAGGCTCTTCTCTGTCGCAGATACCTTACCTAGGAATATCTCAGGCTTATTCAAATATGAGTTTGATACGACCGCGGTGCTCATGAAGTGCTCTGAGAAGAGGCTCGATATCAGGATGATTATAGATAACACAGTTAAGCTTATTAGAGTCAGGAGCACTAAATCAGCATAACCGACCATGTTAGTCATCTATCTTTCTGAGAAAGGGAACCAGTTTGTCATAGAAACACAGTGAATACATTATATGTTTTGAGGCCCACATAAATCCAAGCAACAGAACCATGATTAAAACAAAGATTGTGAATACCGCCATGTCTGCATTATTCAGAAACGGGATTCTGAATGAAGGATAACCGAAAGTCGGTTTGGTGAGTGAAAGACTGCTTGCTTCCATGATCTGAGCTTCTGGCATTTTTTGCTCCATGGTCTGATTTGCTAGCAGTGTCATGTCTCTGAGGGTGATAGAGAGAAATAATTTAGAAAGCAGAAAGAAAGAATCTCAGGAATAGAAATCTATACTCACTAGTGTAGCTAATACTGATGCGTGTAAGCGGGAATTTGTTCCAGCAATTACATGTCGCTGACTATAGCTATGCGTTCTCCGTCGACGCCATCATGATCGATTACAGTGAAGCGGCAGTGATCTTAACTTTTATAACCTTGCACCTCCTCCACGGTACCTCAAAGCCTTCTACATCATACCCCAGGGCCACATTACTGGCTTTTAAGCGTGAAACAGTAGCGTTTAAGAATTTTAAATTCAGTAACTACTATATATTTGTCTACTATTTCTTCTAGAATTATGATCTTTCTCGATATAAATAAGCAGTTATTACATTTAAACGAACCAAAGAACCAAACTAGGAAGTAACCATTAACCAGTAACCAGTAACCAGCAACGAAACCAAACTCAAACTAAGTAGCAACAATCTCTACAACTAAATACTGACCCATTATAACAGTTGTTCCGCCGCTTACCCTTTCGCAACAATCGACACAGCAACAACAACTACTACTACTGAACATCACCTAGCGCCGCAGAATGCCACCCAACAAGCCCGAAACATTCGAGAGCAACGAGCTAACAGGATCTGAACTCTTGCTATCATCATCATCCTTGTCGTCATCCTTATCATCGCCATTACCACCACCACTGGAACTGCCTTTGTGTGGGCTGGAGCCGTTGTTGCTGCCCGTTTCGTTGACATAGATGCTAGAGCCGCTGCCAGTGTTGGTGCTTCCATTGTTGTCGCCGCTGCTGCTGTTGGTATCAATTTCGTCGGGCTTCTTACCGTTCGAAGAAGAAGAAGAAGTCTTGCCATCTGAAGAAGGATCTCTCTTAGCCAACATTCATAGTTATGCCGCTCGGCATCGGGTATGGGATGAATGATGATAGCTGGGGCTAGTGGCTGGGGCTGGGGCTGGTACTGGCATAGCCCGACACCCCGTTGCTAGAAATCGCTAGCGAGATACTGGAGGTTGAGCTTATGCCTGTACCACCACTGCCGCTGCTTTCATTCTGTGTTGGGGTGATGGTGATGACCAGGCTTGTGCCCGAGCCAACGTTGTCAGCGCCGGTGCCCTTACCGTTATTGTTGCTGCCGCTACCATTTCCATTGCTACCTCCAGATCCGCTGCTGCCTCCAGATCCGCTGCTGCCTCCAGATCCGCTGCTGCCTCCAGA